CTTAAAGTGTAATTAGCCCTCTCAGGTACTAACAGTCCCTCACAATTCCAGTGGAAAAGGTATAAAATGACAATGCCTGCCAAGACTTTCTGACCCCTTGAAGATGAGATTTTAAATAAAGACATTCAGGACAAATAAAGACATTCAGGAGGCTAGTCACAGCTGGGATGTTGATTTGATAGCAAATATTCCCCCATTGTGTATCAATCATATCTGTCCTTAATCCATTAAGTGGATGATGGGATATATCGATACTGTCATCACATGATTAAAATTGGCCTGAATAAGAAACATCTTATTCATTCAGAAGGGCATCTCAGCAAGTCAGTGTGGTATGAAAAAGCTTAGAGGGAAGCCATCTAGCATAAGGGAGGACCCGACCTGAAATGTCACCCATTTGTGTCTTGTTCTTTACAGTCATTGGGTTTAAATACTCCAGTAAATTATATCCTGCTGTGGTCAGCCGAGAATTGAGAAAAGGAAGGAACAATCTCACAGCTCTCCCTGTTTTATTAATTGTAGCCTGGAGTATTTCTACGTGGATTATAAAGTGCTTTCTTTCTCCTGGTATCTTGCCAAAAATTATAAAAGTGCAACATATGTTTTTGATTAACTTAAATTCAGGGTAAATAATAATTGCTGTATCAATGTGAAGTTCAGACACCATTGGTAAGTGTGTGGACTGTATAACCTGTTGGTAAGAGGATGCAGCATTGTTCATACAAGAAGAGATTCTGTCTACAAAGGAGTATGGCCCTGGGAGTCCAGGTCTGAGTGAACACACCGTCAGGATAGATGTGGCAAAGAACTGAAGGACTATGGAGGCAATGTGCCACCAGGTGGCACTCAAACCCAGCCAACTGGGACAGTCTGTTTAAACTATACCCACATATGTACAAAGAGGTAGTTGAAGGTAGAGGGTAAAAGTTGGAAGGTAGAAGCCATCTTTTGCACAATCTTAGAGACAAATTCAGATGTCAAAAAAGAAAGGACAATTTGGGGGACAGCAGAGTGGCGCAGTGACTCACACCACCAGGGAGCCAGGTTCAGTTCTATCCTTGGGTAAATGTCTGTGCGGAGTTTGCACATTCTCCCCATGTCTGTGTGGCTCCAGTTTCCTCCCACTGTCCAAACCTGTGCAAGTTAGGTGGACTGGCCATGCTAAATTGCCCATGATGTCCAGAGATGCGCAGGTAGTTTAGCCGTGTGAAATGCAGGGTCACAGGGAAAGGATACGGGGCATGGGCCAGGGTATAGGATGCTCTTCGGAGAGTCAGTGTGGACTTCACTGGCTGAATGGCCTGTTTCCACACTCAAGGGATTCTGTTAGCAACAAGCTGGAGTCCTAGGCCCCCAAGGGTTATACTTCTACAGCATCTTCATTGCTGCCTTTTGTTTAGTGTATTTTACCATGTGCTTAATAGAGTCTGCTTAATTCACAAAAATCTGTTGTTCACACATTGCAGGCCAGGCCCAGCGAAGAAGTCCACTGTTGTTAAATGAAGAATTAGAAGCTAATTACAAACCATCTCGAACAAGTGGAGAAGATTTCCTTTTGGCATTAGCTGTCAGCCACTTTGTAAACAGAGTGTGTGCTTTCCTGCAGTCAGTATTTCTAGTAAAACGTAAGTGTTCTTTTGGAGTGTGTTTAAGTATTTACTTGGAAAATGTAACATAAGGAAGATGTTGTTATTCGCACATAGTAACCTTGGCAAACTTTCTCAAGAGATGACGTACAATAGTTAGGAAACACAAGACAGCTGTCTGAGTGTATGATAAACATAATTCTCGATAACACTACACCATTCCTACATTCCTGTCCTCACTTTAGGGCTTAGGTGTATGATAGGCTACAACACTGCAGTCATTGACGGCGGTTTCACATTGAATATAGTTGGTTTCCAAACTGTTAACCTGGATGTAATTCCAGGCTGTTGTAGCGTCCTCGTTACTAAGAATGCTGTGGCATAGTGGTAGTGTCCCTTCCTCTTAGCCAGACAGACTGGATTCAAGTCCCACCTGCTCCAGAGGTTTGTCATAACATGTCCGAACAGGTTGATTGAAATGACTATAATTCAGGCTGGTATTTCAGACTTTGGACGAGGATTTGAAACATCAGCAAAACGAGAAAATAACATGGTGGGCTGAGAGTAGTGCAGAGCTTGCAGCTGCTGCTGAGATGGAGGCTTTCTTGTAGATTTCCTATGGTTATTATATATCAGAAGCATGACTTTTTTTAATGATGATTAAGTTTTGCAACTTTTATAGTCCAAAATAAAAGTTTAAAGATCGTGACAACGTATGAAAGACATTTGGATAAGTACATGAATAGAAAAGGTTGGGAGGGATATGGGCCAAATGCAGGCAGACATTATTTAGGCCACTTTTGGAATATTGCATTCAATTTTGGTCTTTCTCCTATAGGAATAATGTTGTTAAACTTGAAAGGGTGCAGAAAAGATTTACAAGGGTGTTGCTAGGGTTGGAGGGTTTGAGCTATAGGGCGAGGCTGAATAGGTTGGGGCTATTTTACCTGGAGCATTGGAGGCTGAGAGGTGACCTTTATGAGGTTTATAAAATCATGAGGGGCATGGATAGGGTGAATGGCTACGGTCTTTTTCCCAGGGTAGGGGAGTCCAAAACTAGAGGGTGTAGGTTTAGGGTGAGAGGGGAAAGATATAACATATATATTGTGAATAGCTGGGGTCCCAGCACCAATCCCTGTGGCACCCCACGAGTTACTGCCTGCCAATTTGAAAAGGACCCATTAATTCCTACTCTGTTTCCTCTCTGCCAACCAGTTTCCTATCCATCTCAATACATTTCCCCCAATCCCATGCGCTTTAATTTTGCGCAATAATCTCTTAATGGGACTTTGTCAAACGCTTTCTGAAAGTCCAAATATACCACATCGATTGGCTCCTCCTTGTCAACTCTACTAGTTACATCTTCATTGAATTCCAACAGATTTGTCAAGTATGATTTCCCCTTCATAAATTCATGCTGACTCTCTCTGATCCTGCTTTCTAAAATCCTTGACAATAGATTTGAGAATTTTCCCCACTACCGATGTTAGGCTCACCGGTCTATAATTCCCTGTTTTCTCCCTTCTTCCCTTTTTGAATATTGGAGTGACATTAGTCACCCTCCAATCTGCAGGGACTGTTCCAGAGTCTATAGAATCCTGGAAGATGACCACCAATGCATCCACGATTTCTAGAGCTACTTCCTTAAGTACTCTGGGATGTAGATTATCAGGCCCTGGGGATTTATCCACCTTAAATCCCATCAATTTTCCCAGCACCATTTCTCTACTCATATTGATCTCCCTCAATTCTTCCCTCTAACCAAATCTTGCCTCCTCGATAAATTCTGGTATTTGATTGTGAAGACAGAACCAGAGGGTTGCTCAGCCATTTCTTTGTCCCCTATTATACATTCCCTTGTTTCTGTTTGTAGGGGACCTACATTTGTCTTCACCAATCTCTTTCTTTTCACATACCGATAGAAACTCTTAGCGTCAATCTTTATGTTCCCTTCAAGTTTACTTTTGTACTCTATTTTCCCCTTCTTAATCAATCCCTTAGTCCTTCTTTGCTGATTTCTAAACTCCTCCCAATCCTTAGACATGTTATTTTTCTTGGCCAATGTGTATGCTTCTTCCTTGGATCGAATACTATCTCTAATTTCCTTTGTGAGCTATGGATTGGCCCTCTTACCCATTTTGTTTTTGTACCAGACAGGAATAAGCAGTTGTTGCAGTTCCCCCATTTGTTCCTTGAATATTTGACAATGCCTATCCACTGTAATTCCTTTGAGTAACTCTCCTCAATCTATCAGAGCCAACTCATGCCTACATCATCATAGTTTAGATTCAGCATCCTGGTCTCCACTATTCCTGACAGGTTCAGAACACCTTCTCATTTGAGATTGAATACCATCCCTTTGTAATTGCTCCATTCTCCATTGCAGCCCTGTGTAGCAGCTGTCCAGGCATTCTCACTGGAAAAGGAGTGAGAAAGAGGGAAATATCTTCCCTATACTAATCACAAACTCCGGGCGATGTCCTATGGTCTCTGTTCAGAAACATTGCTTGAGATGTGTCCAAATATCTCCTTATGTAGCCCAATGTCAGATGGAGGCAGCAGTTATAATGCATGATATGACATTGCTGGCACCTCGAATACTGGGGTTCATCTGTCCTTCTGAAGCTCAACATCCCTTCACACAGGGACTCATATCCCCACACTCCTCCCACACTGCTCCTGGCAGGAGGCCTGTGTTGAGGGTTGTGGAATGGCAGGTGTGAAAAACCACATCCAATGACACTGCCCTAAATTTAAAGGCATTTTCACTTCCTGTTTTCATGTTAAATAAACATCTCACGCACATTCCAAAACAGATGTTTTGTTGTAGATTGACTGGGTAACAAGCAGATGTTTAGTGTCAGCAATATTGGAAACATCAGCTACTAATCCAGTGAGTTTACACCCAGCTCTGTTAGGAATATGTATACTGACAAGGTGCATGATTGGGTATTAGAACTGTTTGGGAGTAACAGGATCTATCAGTTGTTCAATAGCTCTCTAAGGCCTTTCCCAAGCAGCAATATCTGAACCTGTGACTTTGTTATCAATTGCAACCCAACAGTGGACAGGGGAGCAGCTGAGATGATGTCAATATCCATTCTCATTTCCCTTCTACTGAGGGTGATCAGTAGCTGAAATCCTTGTCCCAGTCCATCCTCTAATCTACATAACCTCTAGCCCAGACATTGAAGTTGATAGCACAATAACACCAATATCTACTGCAATTTGACCATTGCAACATGGACTGAGAATTGATGACAAGCACCAATCAGTTGGAGCACTCTAGTGTTCCATCCTGTTTACTCAGCAATTTCTGCACACTGGGTAACCTCTTATTTACTCTGATCTCTTGGAACAAATAAAAATGCACAGAGCACAGGATAAAGAAAGACAGAGAATGAATTGACCTACCACACTTGCTGTTACTCGGCGACACATGAGCATGGCCAGTGGGTTAGACTGTGGCACGACTTCTTGTCACCATTGCCAGCATGTTGCAGTTTCTTGTTAAGTGCGACGGAGATGCTGATCGTGGCTGGCAATGACGTGAAGAAACATCTTGTGACATTTCACAATGAGGAGGAAGGCAGTGTGTTGAAATCGTACAGAACTGCAATATATCGAAAGGGGAATTGATTTCTGACAAACTAAACCAGGGTTGCCGGGGGGAAGCAGAGGGGCAGTAGTTTGTGTGTCAGTAGCCAATCAGGGACCTAGATAAAAATGTGCTGTTGCATTACATGTACGTTTTTTTTGGTTTTACAGTTGCGGGTCACCTTGAAGGTTAAAATTGGACATGAATGTGTGGGCACATATCTGGATTGCACCAGTCATCCCTAATGCTAGCCCTAGTGAAGTCACCCAAAATGAATATGGAGCGTGGTCTAAAACTGTCAGTGAATACAATAAAACCTGCATTACACTATTACCCAATTACAATTTCCACTGCAGTGTGGAACAACGTGAGGTTTACGCTGTTGTGAGTGAACATTTTCAGGCTTTATTAGAGATATCTATTTATAAAACATGGTGAGAGAGGACATTCTGCTGAACGTCACAGACTCAGGCTCCAGTTACAAGTGATCTGATGTCACTAGTGATGTTCCCTGTATTTTCTCTGATTGCTGTGCTGATCTCTGAGGTCTGTGCATGGCAGCAGCGTCTGGAATCTAAAATCCACGCATCTCCAAACGGTAGCCAAGAGGGAACGTTATTCTGAGGGTAAAGGCCTATTAATCCCCTTCTCAACACTGAGAACTTAAGAACAGAAGAAATAGGAGCTTTACTGGCCATTCAGCCCCTCACGCCTGCTGTGTCATTCAGGAAGATCATGGCTGATCAAAGTGAGGCCCATTTCTCTTTTCTACTTTCCCTTTATCATCCTTGACTCACTGGTCATCAAAAAGCTGTCTGCCGCAGTACTGGTTTCTACAAGTTTCAAATCAATAACTCTTCATTTTGTTGAACTGTATGTGTTTCCTTAAGCTGTTGTGAGCCAGCTATGTAATGAAATATGGAACAGTCATGGAGTCACAGAGATGTACAGCACAGAAACAGTCCCTTCGGTCCAACACATCCCTGCTGACCAGATACCCTAAATGAATCTAGTCCCATTTGTCAACATTTGTCCCTGAGAGACAGAAAGTTGTTCCACCGTTGCATCTATGAGTAACTTGGTCATTGACCTGTCAGGCCGTCCATTGAGGTGAGTAGTTTCCAGTCACACCAGTGGATTAGTGACCATGGATTCCAACACAATTGGTTGGACCAAAGCAGTAGCTTTGGTCTCTTACCATTACTCTGAACTACTGTAACACCACAAATGTGAGGCAACATTTAGCCTTCCCAACATGAAATGGGGACCTCGAATGAGTGATATTCTGAAAGTTTCTGACAATGTCTCTCTATGTTCAAAACAAAACAAACACAAAAAATTCTGGAGAAACTCAACAGGGCTGGCCACCCAGCAAAGTCTCTCACAATGTTTGATCCCTTCCTTAATGAAGCTTCTCCATTTTGATCAGTCACAAGCCTGGGTCTCCCATAAGTTGGAGAGCATGATTGATCTCTTCAGGAAAACTTGGAGGACCTCTTTAAAGCATTTTCGCTGTTCTCCAGGTGTCTCCTGCCACAACCAAATTGCGAGTGGAACAGTTGTGTCAGGAGTCTGGTGTCAAGTGTGAGAATGAAATGACCAGTCTAGTAGTTTTTGAGAGATTAGCACTGGGTGTGTGACTGTGATGAGTGCTTAGTAACTTCACTTTTCCATGAACAGAAACCATTTGCAGAGAAGGTGAAGAGTGAACCAGCTCTCAGGCTCCTGTGAATGTTGTTTGAAATGCAGCTGTTTGGAAAATGCACACAGTATGACTCATCATCCAGTCACCCTGACACTGAGCCAAACAAAATAACAACAGAGGAACAGGAGTGGGTCAAATACCTCTCAACGCCTGTTTCACATTCAATGAGATCATGGCTGATGTGAAGGCTCCCACTGCTCAATGGAGTAATACTCTCACACAAAGAGATACTGTTTTATTGCACCAGTAAATACTTTATAAGCATCTGTGCATAATATAAATGCATTAAACCATGATGGTGAGGTATGTGCAATAACTATGCAAACTGCTGGAATTGTGGGATCTTACTGCACAGGAAGCTTCTTGTACACGTGTCAGCTCCTTGTAAAAGCAACTCTAATTAGTACCAATCCATTGTTTCTTCCCATGGTAATGATTTTATTTTATTTCTAAGTATGTATCAAATTTCCCTTCACAAAGTTTTGATTGAATCTACTTCATTGAACTTGCAGGCTGTGTATCTCAGGGTGTAACAAGCTACTGCATAAAAAAGATTTCTCTTCTTCATCTTCTGAGTCTTTTCTCAATTATTACAAACCTGCACCCTCTGGTTTTTGACTGTTCTGTAAAGCGAAACATTTTCTCCCATTTAGTTTACAATGCTTCTTCTCACTATTCCTCTCCAAAGGTATCACTTCACATGTCTCTGGATGACATTTAATCTGCTCTGTACCTGCCCACTCCTTTAGTTTAGATGATACCCTAATCTGCTACTGTCATCCTCCCTGCTTAGTACATTTCTAGGTTTTATGCCATAGAATCATATATTATCAGATTATAATATAGAAGGCTCCCATTCCCTCATTCTATCCAAAGACACTGCAAATTTACTTCCCTCAAATATCTAACCAATTTCTTTGTCAAATCATTCATCATCTCTGTTTCCAGCATCTTCATAGTCATGATCCAAGTCATATTCCCCCGATATCTCTTTCCCAAAACCTTAAATCTACATTTCTTAGTCCTTGTACAATCCACTAATGTCAACAACATTTCTTAGTCTACCTTGTCAACCCCCATATATCTCCTTTGATCCCAAGAGAACAACATCAGAATCGCCAATCTGCTTGAAAGTTAAAATCCTTAAAACCACTCTAATAAAACTCCTCTGCACTTAAAGTCATAGAGTCATACAGATGTACAGCACGGAAACAACTTTTCGGCCCAACTGATCCATGCCGACCAGATATCCTAAATTAATCTAGTCCCATTTGCCAGCATTTGGCCCACATCCCTCTAAACCCTTCCTATTCATATACCCATCCAGATGCCTTTTAAATGTTGTAATTGTACCTGCCTCCACCACTTCCCCTCGCTATTCATTCCATACATATACCACCCTCTGCATGAAAAAGTTGCCCTTTAGGTCCTTTTAAAATCTTTCCTCTCTCACCTTAAACCGTGCTCTCTAGTTTTGGACTCTCCCACCCTGGGGTAAAGACCTTGTCTATTATCCTATCCATGCCCCTCATGATCTTATAAACGTCTATAAGGTCACCCCTCAGCCTCCGACACTGAAGGGAAAATAACTCCAGTGGTTAGAACTGCTGCCTCACAGCGCCAGGGACCTGGGTTCAATTCCACCCTTGGGCGACTGTCTGTGTGGAGTTTGCACATTCTCCCTGTGTCTGCGTGGTTTCCTCCGGGTGCTTCAGTTTCCGCCCACAGTCCAAAGATGTGCAGGTTAGGTGGATTGATCATGCTAAATTGCCCGTAGTGTTCAGGGGTGTGTGGATTAGGTGGATTATAGGAGGATGGATTTGGGTGAGTGCTCTGAGGGTCATTGTAGACTTGTTGGGCCGAAGGACCTGTTTCCACACTGTAGGGATTCTGTGATTCTGTTCAGCCTCTCCCTATAGCTCAAACCTGGCAACATCCTTGCAAATGTTTTTTGAACCCTTTCAAGTTTAACAACATCTTTCCTATAGCAGCAAGTCTAAATTTGCACTCAGTATTTCAATAGTGGCCTAACCAATGTCCTGTATAGACGCAACATGACCTCCCAACTCCTATACTCAATGCACTGACCAATAAAGGGAAGCATACCAAATGCCTTCTTCACTATCCTGTCTACCTGCAATTCCATTTTCAACAAACCATGAACCTACACTCCAAGGTCTCTTTGTTCAGCAACACACTCCAGGACCTTACCATTAAATACATAAGACCTGCCCTGATTTGCCTTTCCAAAATGCAGCACCTCACATTTATCTAAATTAAACTCCATCTGCCACTCCTTAGCCCATTGGCTCATCTGATCAAGATCCTGTTGTACTCTGAGGTGACCTTCTTCATTGCCCGCTGTACCTTCAATGTTGGTGTCATCTGCAATGACAAAAACCAGTCGACTCTGCACTGATCCTTGTGGCACACTGCTGGTCACAGGCCTCCAGTCTGAAAAGGAACCCTCAAAGATGCTGACATCCTTCCTAAAGTATGTTAATCAGAACATTTTTCATACACTTCTGGGACATGGACGTTGCTGAGAAATGATAAAGGAGTTGTGAGACCTCAGAACTTCCAAGAGTTGGAGTTTGTTTTACAGAAAGGTGACCCAATCCCAAGCTACTCTGGCCAAGCATCCTTGATACAATCAGAGAGCAGCAACCCTGAGGTATTGATACATCTTGCTTTGTGCGTCTGGGACAATCAGCACAGGCATTATCCCACACATAAACTCAAATGAACTGAAGACTGCTGCTATTTACAAAAGTGGGTGGGGGGCGGCAAGCCTCAGTATGGGCCGAATAACTTTGCCAATCACTGATGTCTATAAAAGTTAATTACCGTGGATACTGAAGACTCACTAGTACCGCCTTTGGGATGACTGAAAATCTTAAACTGCCTCCCCTTCTTATAATAACAAATAAAAAATAGTTCATGTACCAAATTCTGGCTGGCCTGATTATATTGCCTCTCTCCATCCCTTCTGCAAAAATGCATTACCTCACATTTCCCTGTATTAAATTAAATCTGTCATTTTTCTGGCCATTAAACTGGCCTGTCTAAGTCTGCCTGTAGTTGATTGATAATCCTCGATGTTTTCCATGTTGGCAGGTTTGCTACTGTCAACTTTCGAACAGCTATTACATATTCCAATATTCAAATTATCTTTACATATATCACAAAAAGTAGTGGTTTTATAACTGAATCTT